TCTGTAAACTGCTTAGAGAGGGCTGAAAGCCCTATGAAGCAGTATATAAGTCTAACTGCTATTGCTATTGGTGGACATGGTGTGGCTTGTGTGGGCGTGGCAAGGAAAGGATACTGCAAAATCCCCATTTCCACCCCACTCGGGGGCCAGCCAGAGGTGGCATTTGCCCGTTCTCCGAACTACTCAAAATTTCTGCTACAGGTTCTCCAGAACCTGTCAGAACCTGCTGGATTTCACCCCTGACTTAACTTCTCAACCTGGCCACAAATTATGGTTTGATTAGATCTGGCATTCCAGCACACTGACCCAATTAACATGGATTTGCAAACCACAGTTGGTGCTGGCCTTAAGTTGCTCTTGTATCTTGAATTACCTTGCCACAAAAATGCCAGAAGAAGAGAGACGGATCCAACCAGGTTTCTGCTGAGATATTTCACAGCTTCAAACAGACACAGGTTCTTATCTACGGTGAGTTCAGCCCATGGAGCCATGCAGCTTCTGAAGCCACGGAGGGCCCTCCTGGGACCCCTCTCTCCTGCCCAGGAGAGCAATACCTACCCATCCGCAAGCGCTCTGTTTGCACTCATGCTTGGCAAATGCCAGGTGTGTTGATTTCTCTCCTGGGATTCGAGCAAAAACAAAGTCAGAATTGCATGACAAGGTGGCTTGGCATCGCTTTACAGTGAAAACCAATGTTTCTCCTGGAAGAGACAGTTGTCTGGCCTATGAAGAAATTTGTGACAAGGGACTCTGGCACTTGAACTGAAAACTCTCTAGCATTTTAGGGTTTATCTGGAGTGTTTATCTCTTGCAGAAAAGCCCATCTGGAACTATGGGTGGAAAAATCAAAATCACTCTGGTGCATGTTTTTCCCAAAAAAAGAGGTTTATATTACGGTCTATATTAGCTACATTTTAAAAGTGACATTTGTATAACTTTGTTAACATATGGATCTCAGCCTTATGTGTAATGTAATGGAAAGTGTCAGAGCATCTGCAACAGAGCAAGAAGGGAAAGGGTGTTGTGGCTGTATCGTGTTTCATCTTCCAATTTATCTGACAAAGCAGGAGGGATTAAAACATCTTTCAGTGGACGCTGAACGCTTAAGATTTTAAAAAAATCACTGTGTGCCCATTAGAGTAAAGAACTTGGCGCATCTCTGGTTGTGCACATCTGCTTTATATCCTGAGAATTTACTTTAAAATTGATTTATTAAAACATCATCTTACATCGCCATTGTATATATCCATTTAAACCGAATGAACAAATTCCAGCAATTAAAGTTTGGCTTCTCAACTCTTGGCTGAGGTCAGACTGCTGTGTTAGATCTAACATCTCCTGGCCTACTTGGAGATGGGCCAGGGCAGGGCAGGGCCCTTCGCCCCACAGAGGACAACTGGTCTTTCCAATGGGCAGGAGAAAAGAGCCCCTTTCAGGCCTTTTACCACCAAAGCTTGCCCGACTGACCCTCCACTGGGCCACCACAGGAGATTGACTATCATGAGAACATGAAGATACCGAGGGATGAGAAGTCCTGTAAAACCTAGAAGGGGGTCCAGTCAAAGATTAAATTTCCTTGATGCAGACTTGTCCACATCATAGAACCTTAGGGTTGAAAGCAGGGGTGAAATCCAGCAGGTTCTGACAGGTTCTGGAGAACCGGTAGTGGAAATTTTGAGTAGTTCGGAGAACCGTCAAATGACACCTCTGGCTGGCCCCAGAGTCGGGTGGGAATGGAGATTTTGCAGTATCCTTCCCCTGCCACGCCCACCAAACCACACCACGGCCACCAAACCATGCTCACAGAAGCGGTAGTAAAAAAATTGAATTTCACCACTGCTCTCCAGTCTGCTGAAAATAGCCCTCCTCTGGTCCCAGTTTTGCCAAGGTCTGCTCCTTCTTTTCCCAGGGGCTGATTCCCCCCCTTGGAGCCTTAGTCAGGGAAAACACAAACATGGGGGTAACCATAGGGATGTCCCAGCATGCTTGGGAGCATTTTCCTGATAAGTCCTACCCTCCTCTGTCACTTTGTGTTTGTATTATGTGCGCAAAGGCTTTTCTTCAAGTACGGGTTAGTTTTCACATGATCCAGAGTATGGAAGCCAATTCCTGTGCAGAGGCTTCTCATCTGAGTGGGTTTTTGCTGGAGTTAGAAGAACCCTTCGCGTATTGCAGCCACATTGAGCCACAGGGGCTCACTCTTCCTCCCTTTGCATTGCAGCCTATCACATGACCCTGGAAGAGAACATCCAGGAGCTCGCGAGCACCATGGCTGGCATTGGGCTGAGCAATTCAGAGATAAGCGGCGGGTTTGAGTTCTTCACTGTAGATCAAGCCAAAGCCATAATCAATTACGTGAAGAGCAGGTAGGCCTTCTTCATCCTTCAGCACTGCTATGGGGAGGTGGCCATTCAGTGCTTGTTGGGGGCATTGTGAAGTTGGTGAGGGTCTCATTCTTTCATGAATGAATCAGGTTTGGGTTTTGACTGTCGGTGGCACTAACTCCCCCCCAAAAAATTGATTATCAGTTGCTCAGTTGATGGCACGAATTTTCATAATATGAAACTAGATAACCTTCACTGGGTAACGGATTAATTAGTCAATTAATCATAGGGTTTTAATCAATTGAATAAGTGATTAAGTGTTCATATGTCTTACCCTAACATTTCTCATACTAACATGACCCTTTCTGGAAAGATACTTTGAGGGAGCACATTTGGGTTTATACAACAAAACCAGGGACTTTAACGTTGACCTAGAGAAGGAAGGAACCCCTTTTGATTCTCCTCCTCGATTGGGGAGCGGGGATCAGCTAGATCAGGGGTGTCAAACTCAATATCGTTGAGGGCCCCATCAGGGTTGTGTTTGACCGGGGGGGGGCAGTGTGGTCATGGCTCAACATCACTTGTGTCAGGGATGCCTGTGGTAGCCCGAGTGCTCTGCCAGCGAGAACGGGCTCCCGAGCTCCATTTTCAGCTGCAATGGCCTCCTGCAACCCTCAGCCAATGAAAACGGAGCTCAGGAGGGCTGTGCCAGCGAGAATGGTGCAGGTGCGGCCATCCCGAGCTCCGTTTTCATTGGCTGAGGGTTGCAGGAGGCCATTGCAACAGAAAACTGAGCTCGGGAGCCCGTTTTTGCTGGCAGAGGCACCATGGGCTGGTCCTTTGCTGTTTCCAGGGCAGCCCCGTGGGCCGGATCTAAGCACCTTG